ATACACAATGTGTGAAGGGTGTGTTCAGTAACAAGTGTCTGCCCGTTTCCAAAGAGAATATACACATGTGAACTGCAATTATTATCTGCCTCATGCAGCTGGCGCCCCCTCACTACGGACATTTTGCTTTGTCTCACCGCAAAATTATAATACAATACAAAGATGGGCAGAGAGAGAGATTCTTACATGAAACTTAGAATGAATAGAGAGAGAGAGAGAGAGAGAGACAGAGAGGAAAAAGGGCCACTTTCTTATCCTTGCAATAAAACAGAAGATTATGCTAATGATGACCTGCATCATTAGCAAAGAATTCATATTCCACAAACGCATACTCTGTTTTTATGTATCACCTCACCCGGGGAGGGGTGTTTTTGTGAAATGCTATAAACTATTCCGGTATTCTTTAAAATTTCTCCTGAAAACCTAATCGTGACATGCAAGGTCAAACTACAAGAACTGTGACTGCGGTTTGTACGCAGCTTCGATCTCACAATACAGTTGGTTTCATCACGTATTTATTTGCTAATCTTTGTTTGACTTTTGCATGCGTGGTGACAAGCCAGGGGCAAATTCAGGTCAATCCACTTGATTGCACCCTCCACAGAAAACAAAGCCGAAACAAACAAAACGGGGAACAGCCCCCCCCCCCCGCTCCCCCCTCTATCCACTTTTATGATCACTTCTTCATAAAATACAAATCACTGAATATCAGTTGCCTTGAATACTGACGAAATTTGCGTGCGCGTGTAAACGTGACACAGAGAGTGTCATACTGAATTGGAAAGAATCCAGCTGGAAAAATCCAAAGGGATGAAAGTGGACCATTACCAGCAGAACCCCGTCAGCCAGCGTCCTGACTGACTGGCCCAGTTTATCTGCTTATACAACAGGCCAATGAAGTCCATTGACCCTCTATCATCTCTCATCACTTGCTTCCTGGAAGGAGTTTTCGGAGGAGAACTTCAGAGCACGGAGGGTTCAGTAATTAGAGCAGCTGCATGTCAGCAGGGAACGAAAGGAAATGACAACGAAAGAATGAGGAAGAAGTGCACGCGTGAGCCAAGGGAACCACTTGTCATTAACTCTCCTTCACACGCGAAGTCGAGTCTCATGAATAGCAAGTCCAAATCTTGTCGAGGCTTTCACAAGTTCGAGCCGAGCAAGTCTCGAGTCCTGAAATTGCAAACTTAAGTCAAACTCGCTTCAGTTCATGTGATTTGAGTCTCCCGCCAGTGAATTCCGGTGAGGGTCTTTCTAAGAGGGATGAGAAGTTTGAACGGTCAAAGGTGAGGTCAAGGCCACCGATCTGACACAGGTCCAGTGAATTATCTCCGTGTCCTTCATCCACCGTCATAAATGGCACTACAAGATCGGACTTTGGCCTAACTCATGCTCGAACTACCGTAAACCTAAATCTCATATGCGACTTGTTCTAAGCAGAAGCTCCTTTTCGTTGTCTTTGTAAACAGGCCCAGAAATGGAATGAACCGCAGCACAGGCCTGTTGATAACTCAGCGAGATCTAAAGGAGGATTCAAAAATATTTCACCCTTCAGAAGACCCAACTGATGCGGTCTCGGGAGGCTTCTTGTGCCCCTTCAAGATCGATGTCGAGCACAGTCGTAGACAAACAACCATTCACACTCACATTCATGTCTGGGGACAATTTCAATGAACCTGTCATGCATGTTTTTGGAATGTGGAATGAAGCCCAAGTACCTGGTTTAAAAAAAAAAAAAAAAAAAACCATGGGAAGAGGACCTTGAAAAAATTGTGGATTAACACAACATTGGGGGATGAGGGGGGAGAAAATTCAACCCTACGACATTTTTTTCATTTTCAATGAGTTACAGAGGGAACGCTGCCACCCCAAACTGCCGCCTTATGCTGTGTGATCATTAGCAGAGAGGTTACAGCTCATCCACATGAAAGAAAAAACGTGAATGATGTTGAACAAGCCATGCAGAACTCTGGAACAGCAGTTTAAGAACACGCGGTTTAGCTAGTACAGTGTTTCCCCCGCCATAATGTGGGTCATCGTTCATACATACCTCAACATAATTTTTTATGTGGGGCATATCTGTAGCAAAAATCTGCAGTAATCTGTGTATATTTTTTTACTGCATACAGTACTGACTGAAATGCCCTCGGATGTGGGTAAGGAAATATTTGTTAAACGCCACGCATGTATTTTTTATACATTTTATGCTAGCAATTTTTTTTGTGCTTTCATAGATGTTCGAAAGGTGTTTAAAAAGTGTGTTTTAATATTTTCAATCATATCGGGTCTAGTACAGTGTTTCCCCCGCCATAATGTGGGTCATTGTTCATACCTCAACATCATTTTTTTTTTGTGGGGCATATCTCTAGCAAAAATCTGCAGTAATCTGTGTATATTTTTTTACTGCATACATTTCGCTCTTGCACGGGTGGGCCTGTGTTTTGGTTCGGGCAGGGGGTTCGAGCCATGTGGAACAAGACTGAAGGGTTGACAGCTGGCTTCTATAAATAAATGTCGCAGGCAGGGGGCAGACTGAGAGGGAGAAGGAAGTGTGGAGTTGAGCTGGGAGCGAAGGAGGGGGGGCTGACAGATGTGCTTGAGTACACAACACAATGTGCGAAGAGTGTCCTCTCCCCTTCGTTCTGAGCATGCCAATGAGTCATGTGCTCTCTCTGTGTGTGGTTTTTTTTTTGACTCATATTTGACTCCTTTTGTTTTTTGACTCATAGTTGTCACGACCGCACAGCCCAAAGAATGTTGAGGGAGAAGGAAGTGTGGAGTTGAGCTGGGAGCGAAGGAGGGGGGGCTGACAGATGTGCTTGAGTACACAACACAATGTGCGAAGAGTGTCCTCTCCCCTTCGTTCTGAGCATGCCAATGAGTCATGTGCTCTCTCTCTCTGTGTTTTTTTTTTACTCATATTTGACTCCTTTTGTTTTTTGACTCATACTTGTCACGACCGCACAGCCCAAAGAATGTCGCAGTTGTATGATTTTGATGCGCGTGGGCCTGTCAACTTCCTTCCTTGTCTTACTTCACACTTGCGCGTCACTCAACCGCCAAGTGTACTGTATGTCAGAGATCGAGAGTGGGGAGAGGGGACTCTACTTGCACGACATCTGCACATTTTTAGTAAATGGTTACAACTGTATCACATCATCCATCCATCCGTCCATTTTCTGATCCTCTTATCCTCACAAAGGTCGCAGGAGGTCCCGGAGCCAATCCCAGCTGTCTTCGGGCAGGTTGCCAGCCGATCGCAGGGCACACATAGATGAAGAACAATCCGCGCTCACACTCACACCTAGGGACAATTCAGAGTGTTCCATTAACCTGCCACGCATGTTTTTGGAATGTGGGAGGAAACCGGAGTACCCGGAGAAAACCCATGCAGGCACGGGGAGAACATGCAAACTCCGCACAGGAAGGCCAGAGCCGGAATCGAACCCTGCACCTCTACACCGTGAGGCCAACGTGCTAACCGGTCGATCACCGGGCTGCCTGTATCATGTCAATAAATTATAAATGAATAATCTTCATTCACCTCATAACTGTAACCACAATACACAGTGACATCAGATGTCATCTCCTTTACCCTCCGATATTAAAAAGCTTAATCGAACGTACCTGGGATTGAATATCTGGATTCTGAAAAGACATAAAACACGTTCGTGGGAATGAATAAGTTCAGGATTTTATTATTTTACTATTTGAGTACCGGTAGTAGTGTAATCTAATTTAATGTGATGTTAATGCAGGACTCCTTTGATTGTGACCTTCAGAGGAGGCATAGTTTACACTTAGCCATAGCCACTTCCTGCATCAAGTTGGCGTGTAATCAGAGTCTTATCGGATCATGTCCTGTTGACTGTTTGCTAACAACTGACTCAGATGAAGTGGATAGCTGAGGCATGAGGCAGGCATCTTTCGTTTTCTGCTCGTACACTTTGAATCCCAAAGTGTCGCGTTTGTGCGTGGATGATATTTACGAGGCTGTCACAAAGCTGGGTTTGTCTTGAAACACCAAATAAACACTCAGGCTGTCTTATGCGGTTACACTTGCACTCTGAGCGAGCTTTACCTGTCTCTCTTCGTCTGCACTGTGTGAGATTTCACGTGATCTGGCAGTGGGAACTCACATCATTATGGAGTTCTTCAGAAAGCTACTATATCTGCGGAAATGGCTGGAGTGTTGGGAAGAGGGAAGCGGATCACTGTCTCCGCGAGTGAGCAGGTCATTTCTATCAGGCTGCATCAGGACGTCAGCAGGCCTCTCCTCCATTTCCTCTATTTCAGATTTTATGAGTGAGAAAGAAAGAACTATGTGCACAATGTAGAATAATTCATACTGTATATCATATTTGTCCGTGTGTGTGTGTGTGTGTGTGTGTGTGTGTGTGTGCACAATAAATTTTGGGTGCATTAAAAAAAAACGTAATCAGTAATCCATGATTTTTTAATTTCATATGATGATATGAAATCATAATTTGGGTGCTTGATTTGTTTGTATTTTTGGTTGCTAATCAAGGCAGGGCTTGGTGGCTCGTGAATCGCGCAGTATAACTGTACTTAAAAGCATCGTGTACTATTTCTGTCATCCACACACAATCAGCATCAGAAGGCAGTACGTTGGCATTTTTGCACTTTAGCAACACATTGCTGAGTGTGTACTTTTGTTAGACAAAATGTTTTCAACTAGGCGGTTTCAACAAATCACCCGTTTTAAGCCAATTTTGGAAAATGGGATTTTTTTTTTCTTTTTTTTCTGGAGTTTGAAATGAGACATAACTTGGAAGTGAAATACTCTCCGGGATCAGGTTGTGTTTGATTTATTTTTCAACAAATTCCACAACATTATGTACATCTCCACAATCTAATGGCATCCGGTATGTAGTAACGCATGCAGAAGAGAAATCCTTCCTAGACTGATAGCATGATGTCCTGTATGTATCTTGCAGTTGTACCTCATGCTTCCCTGCCTCCCTCTTGTGTCTCCGCAGCCTCTGGCACAGTGGTGCAGGTTGCTGCCCAAAGATGCCGCCAAGATGCCCGAGAGCGCGTGGAAGCTGGTCTTCTACACCATGTCGTGGTGCTACAGCACCTACCTGCTCTTCTTCACCTCCTACCCTTTTTTCCACAACCCACCCTCTGTCTTCTACAGTAAGTCACAAGGCACAGTCATGGAAAGTCACATCATATGGTACACTTGCACAATCGAATGAGACACTTAAGAGAAGCTTTTTTTTTTTTTTTGTGACACATCTGATCTCATTCCTACATTTGTGCAAACGAATGATACTTCTATTGATTCAGTGTAATTCAAAAGACATAACTTTTTATGAGCTGATCTTATGGCAGCAAATTGGTTTCAACTTTTTGAATAATGTTTTCGTTTGCTGCACAGTTGGGCTCTGGTTTGCACATCTGCCTCACAGTCACAAACTAAACTAAACAAACAAACAGTCGACAGGTTATGGGTTCAAAAACTCTTTTCTGAGTGCTCCGGCTTCTTCCAAAATTCAATAACAGGCAATGTTGAGTTCAGTTAAGGCTAAATTGTCTGTAGTGATGAATGTGAGTGTCAGTGGTTGTCTCTATGTGTTAGCCTGCAACCCTTATGAGGATAAGCGCTAGAAAATGGATAGATGGAACATTTATGGAACATATAATTGGTTGATCCCTAGTGAGATATTTTGTGGTCGTGGCACAATATACCAGGGACTGGTCGCCAATCAGCCATAGGGTGATTGTACCCACTTTGCTCAAAGTCAGCTAGTACATATAGACTACATCTCACCTGTGAAATGGCTACCTGCAACTCCTCGGGCAATACAGTGGAACCTCGATTTAACGGACTGACTGGGGCAAGGGGTTGAACCACTTGTCGTTACAGCAAAGTACTTTTTTCGTGACCTAAAACCAACACAATACAAAATGATTCTTTTATATTTTTTTCCTATACTAAAAATGCCCAGTACAAAACACAATTTTGTAAAGAAATATAAAAAAGCCTGACACTGTTGGAAATGATTTAAAGTTTATTCAAACATAGTGTACCTTGTTGGTGCTTGGGAGGAGGATAATGGCATACATCTGCTTAGCGCTTCCTTTTTTCGCCACGATTACAATTAGATGCCACAGATGAGAGCTTTTCAAAAACTGTGTATTGTAGCTCAACAAAAATTATGTTAGAGAGACGTGGACACAATTAGTGCCTGAGTAAAGAAACAGATACGACATGAATAGGGAGCTACGTCTTTTGAGCTGCGGGCTTATGGCGATGCTAAGCTAATGCCCATGGTTTCATTGCCTTTGATGCGAACATTCCCCTACCAACATGGCCGCCTCATTGACGCATGTTTTAGCCTCTCGTCTACTGTAAGTCCATCTGTAACAAGAGCGGTGACAGCCCGAAACATGTGACCAGTCTCTGTCTGTTGATGGCTCAACAGCGCCCTTGTCTGGCTTTGTGGGGAATTACGGCCAATTTGGCACTAACAGAAGGACCGGACACTATTTTCCATTCAAGCATTGGTCCGTCAAATGAAGCTTCCACTGTATTGACATTGTTGGAGTATAATCAGAATCTGAAATGAATTGACTGAACGAGTTGCCAGAGCTCTTGTACTCGATTTCATTCGATTATGAAGGAGGACCTAACGAAGAGTCCTATTCAGTTTAGAGTTGCACAGAGAAAATGCATATTTAATCACGATGTTACCGAGCCCGCCTCTTACGTAACTGCTCAAGGTAGAGAAGTCAAGACAGTTCGACAGTATTTGATCAGCATGAAAAAAATAGAGCAGCTTATGTAGCTCAGCGGCAACAGCATTATTCCATCCTTTGCCCGTAAGCAGTATTGTTTGGCCACATAACCGGTGCACAAGAGGCCTGTGGGCGGCCAGCCAGCTGTCTGCCCTGACAGGTTGCAGAGATAAGAAGCAGCAGACGTTTGTCTCGATGAAACAGCAGCAAGTGGCCTGGCCCGTTGCCACTCTGAGAGTGCTGCCTTCTTATACAAATCGCCCCATTTTGGCTGTACATGATTAAATTAGGGCTGCACGGTAGATTAGCGCCTGTTCACCCTGGGCTTGTGTGAGTTTTTTTGGCACTTTGCCGTTCCTCCAATGTCTCAAAACGTGCATGTTGTTCTCTGAAAACTATACATTTCCCATAGGAGTTAGTGTGAACGGACGACCAGTTCAAAAGTGTACCCCAGCTTTCGCATGGTCAGGTGACCATGGATGATCACATGATGTACACACAGCCTAAATGCGGTGAATATATACGGGCCGTTTGCAAAAGTGAGGATACATTTGTAAGTGTTCTTTATTATCTACCGTATTCATGATTGATGCGTAGGTCAACGAATTGCCATCATAATAACTAGACCTCACCCAAATAGGTTCTTCTAAGGCTACGCAATGAATCGAATTTCATTCATGATCATGATTTTGGCAGCCACAAATAAATTAACTGATCACTGTATTTTTTGGGGGGAGGAGGGGTTGGGGGGGGTGACAAAATGGGGGCTCTACTGCATATCTAGGTCAGCACAAAGTGTAGTCAGCTAACCACCAGGGGGCGACGCATGGTTAATTCTTCATTTCGCCAAGTGACATTAAACATTAAAGTTAATAACATTTATTCAGTTAGCCAAAGGTAAATTTTAAATTCTCAGGTAAAACAGATGTGAGAATTGTGATTAATAAAACAAGTCAACACATTTTTACTATTTTTTAATATCAGAGATGCAAGTGCGTACCCTTCTTATCCCTGTATACACGTACGTCATTTCCTATGCAGCCTCTGATGTTTTGCTGGTTTGTAGCAGATTTGACATCATTGTGGTTGAAGTGTGTCGATAGTATTATCTCTCCTTGTGTCGAATATAGTTGGCAGATGTTGAGCTGGTGTGACAACTGATGCCGCAGTGTTCACGGGGGGGCAGAGCTGCTTGTCGAGATTCCACTTAAATCCCTTTTCATCATGTGGGATGTGATTGAAATCACTCTTTTGGGACACAGAGATTACTTGACAGTAATATCTTGTTGGCACTACGGACGAAAACACAGAAAGTCTGCAACTATCCAGCCATTTCCTTCCACTTGTTCTCATTCCGGTTGCAGCCAATCACAGAGCAGATATCAACAAACAGCTAGTCCACCACACTGCCCTAGTTTTGCATAGTTGCATTAAATTTATCTATAATTATGTTGATTTGAAAGTATGGTTATTTTAGATACAACTATTTTATTTAGCAGAAATGCTCCTAATTAACCTTTTTGTTTTATGAGGGGAAGGGGAGGGGATCACATTTGTATAAAAACACGATGTAAATGTGTAGTTATCATACCAAACAGCCGTTTAACATCTCGTGCAGACGCTGTGACTGAATCCCGAAATTCACTTCCTCTCCCAAGTTAATGACACGTGCATCCAGTGTGTTTCAGACACTGACGTCTCCTCTTCGTTTCTCTAGACTGGAAGAGTGGAATGCCAGTGCCTATAGACATCGCCATCGCCTACCTGATCCAGGGCAGCTTTTACGGTCACTCCATCTATGCCACCGTCTACATGGACGCCTGGAGGAAGGACTCTGCTGTCATGGTGGTGCATCACATCATCACTCTGGCACTTATCTGTTTCTCCTATGCCTTTAGGTAGCTGTTTTTTTTTTTTGCTATTACTATCAAACATGTTCACGTGCAGGTAAATTTATGGGCTAAGATGTTGTGACCATTTGTTAGATACCACAACGTGGGAATTCTGGTGTTGTTCCTCCATGATATCAATGACATTCAACTGGAATTCACCAAGCTCAACGTCTACCTGAAGTCCAGAGGAGGAGGCTACTTCCTGCTTAATGACGTGCTCGCCAACATGGGCTCGGTCAGCTTCAGCATCACCTGGTAGGTATATGAAATATGGAAAAAGGGTGAATGAAGATACTGAACCCCCAGTTGCTCCTGTAGCTGGTCTAATTTAACGATCTCACTGTCCCTCAGGTTCTGGTTCCGTCTGTACTGGTTTCCCCTAAAAGTACTGTATGCCACCTGCGTGTCTGTCCCCAACATTCCATTCTACTTCTTCTTCAACACTCTGCTCCTCGCACTGTTGCTCATGAACATCTACTGGTTCTTGGTAAGAGCACACACAAATATAGTCCTACCCTGCTAAAGTATGTTGTGCATCACCTCCCACAGACCAGCTCGGTCGGTGATTTTTTTTGCATTGAATTTACGATCCCATTTGCCTCTCACAGACAATTGCAGTTTAAAATAACTCTTATTTTGAGTTTTTACTTGTCTGAGAGCCACATTTGCACACTCACACAGTAGCTGCTGTATGCCACGGCTCACACGTAGACACTCACACGCAGACTAGCCGATATCACATCCCACCCAATGAGGCCCCGCCGATTAGAGGCACATTTCTCCAACGCAGACACTGCAATGCAAGCAATATTTTCTACACATTTTATGCTTGCAATTTGTTGTGCCTGTATTCACATACATTCGCAACATGTTTCAAATGTGTTTTAATGAATTGAAATGGCTTTAAAGCTTGAGGAAGGGGCAAAAGAACTATGTCAAATAAATGATTTTTTTAAAATTTTGCATTTTGCAGGTGGCTCTAGAAAGAATGTGATTGGGTCTGTATGTTTTTCCCCACCACCAGTTCATCGTCATCTTCGTAGTAAAAGTGTTGAAGATGAAGGAGGTGAATGACGTCAGGGAGTACGAGGAGGAGGAGGGCGCCAAGGCAGCAGCGGGCCTGCTCCGAAACCCTCAGGCGGCGGCCATAAATCACGGCGATGATCACCCCGATGATGATGCTGGACATCACAACGCTGACCAGGGGTGAGTAGACACTGACACTTGATCTTCCCGGCATCTCAGCGGGGAAAACACATGTGCTGTCTATTGACGTTAGCGAAAAGTAAATGAGGGCAGAACATGTTAAACCCCACACAGGAAGGACCGAGTCGAGATTACAACGCGCGAACTCGCGACTGTGAGGCAGACGAGTGAAACACTTCCCGCAATGTATTTTGCCAATTTAGGGTAAGGGGTGGGCAAAGTACGGCTTGTGGGCCACAGCTGTTCTCCTGCCCACTGAGAGTCCTGCAATATTTGTTGCATTCATTTAGCCATTTCTTCCTAAAATTGGTGAATTCAAATCGTTCCTTTTTTTTTTTTTAAAGTCAGTTCAGTTCATTAAATAATTTGTTAATTTGTTTATTGGAAATAATAATTAAAAAAATGTCAAAAATAATTATATTAAATAATTGGTTCATTAGTTTATTTTTGGATTATTGTATTTCATGCTTCGTAATTTGGATTAATTATAGATCATTTAAATTGAGCAGGAAAAAATAATTAAAGAGAAAGAAATATTGTATTGTGTTTTGCACATCTGTGACCTGGCCCATCTGTGACCTGGCCCATCTGTGACCTGGCCCATCTGCTCATTTTAATAAATCAAATGTAGACCTGGAGCATAAAAGTTTGGAGTCTCACATTTGCACCCATGGACAATCTAGTCATCATTGAACCACGCATGTGTTTGGAATGTGCCACGAAGTGACAGGACCTGGAGTAAAACCCGAGCAAAACTCCACACAAGAAGGCCATAGACAAGAATCAAAACCTGAACCTCTTAACAGTGAGGCAGATGTGCTAACCACTTGTGCGCCGCGGCGGAAGGGTAATTTATAATCCTCCCAGAAAGTGTTATATGGCCAAATTAAACTTGTGGGGCCTGTTTTAATCCTTTTTTTTTTTTGTGTCAGTCGATGTACCATAAATGTATATGGACTCATTAGACACTCCATTGGGTATCTAATGACGGTCACTGTGGCGAAAAATGGCAATGTGGCATATTGGGAGCTGATTTTCTTTTTTGCCACATGAGAGGGGCAAAATATTATCCGTAGGAAATTTAGACTGGACCCGTTGGCAGCCAGCACATGTCAACAAATACCCATTCACACTCACGTTCACACCGGCGGACAGTCCACACGAGCCCAGAAACAACATGCAGACCTAACATAGGAAGGTCAAAGATTTGAATCCAGGCCCTCACAACTGTGAGGAAGACGTGCTAATGACAAAGTCAACCCGCATCATAGAACGACTTGAGTTGGACTTTGAGGTTGTCACAGTCTCCCTAAAGTGCACAGCAATAAATAATTAAAAACAGCAACATCAAAGAACATAAAACAAAACACAACAACGAACCAACCAAAAGTAAACAACAGCAAATGAAAAATCACAAAACCAATAACTAAACAAAATAAAACAAAAAAGCTATGGTACATAAGAGCAAATGAAAATGACAAAATCAAAAACAAACAAAACAAAAAGCCTCACAGCGAATCGCATGAACAAATTGTCATTGTGTTTCGTCGTATTTGTCAATGTATTTTTGGCATTTGCTGTCGTGTTCACCTTTTTTTTTTATTTTGTTGAGTTCTTTATTTTTGTGCTTTATGATTTGCTGTTTTGTTTGGTTTTAAGGTGTCTTGTCATTGTCGTTTTTTTTGTGTTTTCTCATCTGCTATTGTATTTACTTTTTGATTGTTTTGTTGAGTTTTTAGTTGTATTTTTTTCATTTGCTTTTTTTTGTGTGTTTTCATTTGCTGTTGTGTTTTTTTTTTAATGTTGTGTTTGGTCATTTGTTGTTATGGTTTGCACTTATGGGCCACCTTAGGTTCCACCGTAATCAAGATCGTCCGTGAAACTTCTCCCAAGTCATCAGTCGTGGCATCATAAAGACATGCGTTGTCGTGCCATGCAATCTGTACATGATAACTTTCATGACCTTTAAACAAGAAAGTGCAAAAACGTCTCAAATCCAAGCATATGTGTTTGTGCGTATGTTCTGTTATCTCAAGTCATGGATTCATCATACCTTGACTCCATATTATCTTCTTCTTTTAACCTTTGCACTACACTGTCAGTGTTTGTTTGAGTCGCTTTCAAAAGAAGCTCCTTGTGCCTGTCGCCCAAAGGCCGCTGTCCACACTCAAAGAACGCAAAGCAAGTCACTGATTCTGAACTAATAGGTCTGGACCTAAAAGTGGGCAAACAAATCTGTGCAGTGGCGCTGTAGTTACGTTTTTCATTTTATATTCATGGGCTTGAAATTCATACGTTTGCTGCAACTACAAATGTACTTCTGTGTCAACTACGAAAAGGCTTGCCGAGCTCTGGCTTGATTTATTAATCCGTAATGTAAATAAATAAATAACTGTGCCTCGTAGATGGTAGCAATTAGTCTCTTTTGGATGAGATCGCTGTGTCTCAATGGAATGGGGAAACCCATGAAATGCGACAATAAGCGTTATAAACACCTTGTGATTGATCAAAGCGTTTGTCGCATTGAATCTACTACGGTGTCCCAATGGAGAGAGGAGAGGATTTAAATTAAGAAGGAGAAGAGATGATGTAATGTGCGTACATACACGCACACACACTACTTAATACAACTACTACTACTACTAAATAGAATGCAAATAGTTTATAGTTTGTCACATGTGAAATTCTTACCCTAGTGATTTTTGGGTGGAGAAATACATTATTTTGGATTAGCAAATGAGCTCTTAACAGAAATCTAATATTACCAAACATTTATGGGGAGACAAAAAGTGCACACCCCCTCGCCACTGACGCCCACCCTGGACCCAAACTTTTTATGTTTGCAGAATATTTCATTCTTTATTAAAATTGGGGTCTTGGACCAAGGAAATGCAGGGCCTTGAAGTAGCTTTGGGTCCTGATTGGCCGACCGCATCACACGGCGGTAACGCACACACGATGAGGCGGCGCCCGTTTTGTCTGGACAGCCTTGAAGCGCTTCTGACACGGTCTGTTGCTAAATCTCTTTCCCAACTCTGTGCCGGCAGGAAGCACGTGCAGAACGGAATCGCCAAGGAGAAGCATCTATGAACGGATCTGCGGCGCCCCCACCAGGCAGGAGGCCACGAGAGGAGCGGAACCCCCCCACCCCCACAACACACACACACACACACACACACACACACACACACACACACACACACACACACACTAACATTTTAGTCTTCTCAAGCACTGTGAATGTTATCTCGTTGAAGCAGTGAGAAACAGACCGTTGGAGTACGAGGCGTCACATGTTTTCTTTTTCCTCCCCCTTTTCCCAACCATCCAATCTCTCGCTTGTTGATTTGATTCTCATCGCACGGGTCCGCCGTGGCCTCCTGCCTCCATTAGCGACATTAATGTGTGTGAGTGTGAGTGGTGAATGGATACCGAGCGAGTGGGTGCAACTTCACCTCAACACTTCACCTCAATTTAACTTGTTAAGCCCCCTACC